TGTTTGAATGTACAAACCAGTGCCAGGAAGGGAGCACCTTAATACACACACAGTGTCACCCACCCACATCACAAGTTTTGTCTGTTAGCAGCCAGAGGTGCAGGGCCCCAGAAGCCAGACTCCCCCAGTGAGACATGCACAGAGCTGGCAGGCTTTGTGACCTGGCAGGGCCCAGCACCCAGGTCTGCAGTAGATTTTATCCCGCTGTGCCCCAAGACAGATGCAGTCACACAAGCACTCACCCACATCATGAGTTTTGCCTGTAGCAGCCAGAGGTGCAGGGCCCCAGAAGCCAGACTCCCCCTGCACATATCTCCTTGCCAAATGGCAGGCTTTATGGCCTCAGCAGGGGCCACTACCCCTGCAGTTTCCAGCCCTTTGCGCCTTAACACACCCTGGGTCATCCATGTCACAAGTTTTGCCTGTCAGCAGCTTGCGGAGCAGTTCCCCCCAAACCCCTGCACCTATCTCTTTGAAACATGGTAGGCTTTGTGGCCTCAGCAGGGGCCACTACCCCTGCAGTTCCCCCCCGCCCATGGCATAACAGATACATGTGACATGAGTTTTGCTTTAAAAAATTTAGGGTGCAGTTCCCCCAAAGCCCCTGCACCTATCTTCTTAGTTATAGATATTTATAGTTATAGATATTTCATTGATTCCCCATTATACCCTATGGCCAAATCTCCAAAGCAGCTCTGAAGCTTCAGAGCCGCTTCAGCTGAATTGAAGTGGGAAACTGATTTGGAGCTCCGAATCAGATCGCTGGCATCTGAGGCAGCCAGATCTGAAGCTGAATCAAATAGCTGCCTGTTCGCACAGGCCTACCAAACATCTGTTTTTCTGAAAGCCTGGATAATCAGGGGGATTATGGGATTCCTACATAAGAGAACCAGGGAACAGTTGAGATGGAAGGGGGTTTTGTTAAAGTGTTTAGGCGTTAGCAAAAGGTTGTTGTTTGTTTTGGGGTTTTTTTTAGTTTAAATTCAGGTGCCAGAAAGGGGATGGGTATAAATGTTTTTGGCAAGACCCTTTGATTTGAAGGGATGGGAAAACTACCTTTCTGGTTATCTGGCCCTCCAGGGAGTAGAAGTGCTGCCAAAACAGGAAGACAAATCTTTGCTTTTCATAATATCCTGAAGGTGAAAAACAAAAGGGGATCCACGTTTTCAAATATGCCTTTGAGATCTTCAGTGCGAAATGGAAAGAAGTCAAAGAAGGCATAAAGTCATTGGTTGCTTACACGCGCCACACCACTTCATGCTAATGAAGTCCTAAGACTAGAACTCTCTGGGGCATGGGCCATCTTCTGCTGTGTTTTGCACAGAGCCTAGCACTGTGGGGTCCTGGCTTGTGACATGGGCTGCTAGGTGTTACCACAGTATAAACAAGGAATGACAGCCATTTTTAACTGGCTGGCAAGAAACATTTGTACGGTGTTTTTATACCTAATTATCAGTTCTCAGTGATGTCTGACCTGAGCAACTGAAAACTGCAGGCACTTTAAAAGTTCATCTGGCAAGTTACTTTGATGCACTGAAGTGAATTGTTTGGGTTATGCTTCCAGAAATGAGAAAGGACTGAAACTTTTGTAATTTGAGTCATTAATTGTGTTATCTGTGTTATCATGTCCAAGCCTGTCAGACCAACTTCTGTCTGGTGGCAGAGTAGGTCATTCTCTGGGTTTTTACACTCTGGAGATTGAGCCGGTCATAACTGAAAGTGTCAGGAGGCAGTCTGGCATCAGTGCTCACTGATTTCAAGTACCTCCATATACTGTCCGTCACTATGTTAACGATCCTAGCGTTGCACCTCTACGGAATGGGGAAAGTAAAAGGACGGCACTGGCTGCAATGGATGGAGGTTAGAGACTTACCTCTTGGCTTTACAGGCACTGGCTATTATTCCTCACTCCTGTGCATGCTGGAGTAGCCACTCTCCCTTTGTGCACGGTAGGCTGTAGCTTAGTTCATCTTGGTTTGCAGCTAGATGCTGCTGACCCACATTTTGGAGGTCATAGTCAAAGTGAGGACACCAGCAGAGTGAGTTGAGAGATCATACCAGAAAGGGAAGAGCGCTTTAATTAGGGAAACAGATTTGGTCTCAAGACAATCCAAATGGGTAAGGTTTAAGGCTGGAATTTCTGCTGGTGAATTTCTAGCTTTTTTTTCAGTTGTTAGGGCTTTGGGTAACAGGGACATTGTATTCTTCTTGCAGGACATGGAAACAGCCAGTAAGCACCTTGACACAGTGCAAGGACCTGTCTTGGTATTCAGTATTGGTCATCCCTAATTTGTGCTAAACAAAACTTCATATGTGACCCCAGTGTAATGAACAGAGCAAACCCAGAACTATAGTTTGGAGTGGAGTGAGCTGCTCCATTTCCAAGGTTCCTGGTTTTCTCTGTGTAAAAATCACAAATTCTCTGATAAAATTGCAAATTCTCTAATTAAAAACCCCAAATCTGTGTATTCCCATGGTTTAAAATGAAATACCACTACACACACACACACACACACACACACACACACACACACACACACACACGTACGTATGTATGTATATATGTGTGTGTGTATATATATATGCGTATATGTGTGTGTGTATATATATATAGGAATATATATAGGTATGAGTTGAACACATTGTTTTATTGATATATTTACAATTTTAAAGCAATTTGGAAGCCTACCAGTGCCTCAATCACTATAATAAATTATAAATACCTGTACATTTTGGCATTTGATTTTGAGTTTTTTTATCATGGAAAATCAGAGCTCCCCTAGCCCCCTTCACTCACCAGAATGCAGGTCCAGCTGGGGCTGTCCATCCCCCCACAACTGATTTGTGGTGCTGAGCAGCTTTAGTCTGCCAGTGCCCTGCTCATGCCATTGCCCCTTGCTCCCAGGCCACAGCACCCCCAGCCCTACTGATGCCCCTCACTCCCTACCCACAGCCACCCACCACCTGCTGGAGGGGCCTCCAGCTGCGCCCAAGCCCAAGCTGCTGCCCGTGGGAGGTGGTGGCAGGTGCTGTGGCCAGACCAGAGGATGGGGCCCAGCTCCCCCTCCCCTACAGGCAGCATGGCTGGAATGGAGCCCATGGGAGGGGGGCAGGTATGGGTGCCCACCCTGCTGCCCTCCCTCTGGGGCCTCCATGGGGCAGCAGGTGAGACCCCGCATGGCAGGGCAGAATGGGGCAGGGAAGCTCATACCACTACCACAAGCCCCGTACTGCCATGGTGAGACACCCCTTGCCCACCTGGCAGCAGCAGGGGTGGCAGCACAGAGTTTTTCTCCTTAAAATCAATTTTTTCTCCTTTAAAAAGAGAAAATCTGGGTTTTTTTATTTAAAATGAGACCATCTGGGTTGTACCATGTTTTTCCATGGTGAACATAAAACCCAGATCCCAGTCCATTTTCTCAGTTAAGGATTCCTTCATGTGCCCTTAGGACTGTCTAACATTAGTGTGGTCCCCCCAGATTGGCCGAATCCCAATTAAATACTTCCCTATTTGTAAGGCCTAATGGTCAGGACATATGGGAAGTTAAAACAAGCCTGGCTCCGTGTTCAAAAAAGCCCCCAGACATAGTCACATCCCTCCTGACAGCATCACAGCATCAGCTTGGGCAAGGCACCCTACAACCTAAACAAGTGATTTGGGAGGAGCCCATCTCTACCCCTACCTGTCGGCAGCAA